GAGAGAGAGAGAGAGTGTGGCTGGTTTAATGATTATCTTGCAATGCCTAATAGGTAACCATATATCAGCCCACACCCTGTCAAGAACTAAAGTGGGGTGGAAAAGCCTTTTCAAAATTCATCATTTTCCCCGGAAAAGTATTTGACCAACAGAAAATAAGCATTAGAATCAATCAAAACATAAATGGAAAAAAAGAATAATTTGCTTTATATTTTTACTTTTTCCATCTATTGCACTCTTTTGCAAAGGGGCTACTTTTGTGTAAGATGAAAAACAATTTTGGAAATTTATTTTTACTAAGATGGGATTTACTGCCCTAGCCACTAAGCAAAGAGGTTGATCCCTCATTTGCCACTTTTGTTAGATTTGAAATCTTTGGGGCCAGTTTCACTTAAATTTTGGTTGGTGTCACTAAATATAGCCTTTATTGATACTGAAGGTTTGATCCATATCTTCTAAGGTCAAATGGCCATGGCAAAGAAGATCAAATCCTTAAGGATATGCTCAAGGTGTGTAGACAGAGGAAATTGGGGTCCTTGCTCCTATTTATAGTCTTAAAATCAATCAGGATCTTTTGATCTAATGGTTCACAACGATGAGTGATTCGTCGGATACTTCGTCCGACTATAAAATCCCAAATATAAATTTTGTTTGTCTTGCCAATTGCTGCAAATCTAGATCTATTACTATGTGGGGTGGGATAGATTTGGAGGATGATAATAAAAAGTATTGAATAATGTTAGTAAGATTTAGAGGATCATACAAAAATAGTCCTTTTATTGTCTTGGTAATTGCTGCAAATCTAGATCTATTGCCATGTGGGGTGGGTTAGATTTGGAGGATGATAATAAAAAACTGTTGAATAATGGTAATAAGATTTTGAGAATCATATTAATAAGTAATAAGATTGAGAGGATGACAACTTAGGACATATACATTAGGGATCGTCTACCACGGTACATGTTATGTACAAATGATATGCTGCATGTGGTCTCCATAATCCATTGTCGACAAGGCACGCTGAGATTAAAGGGCAGGTCTGAAATTAGTTTTTTTGGAGCTCTGACAAAGTTTTCATATTTACCTAGGAAAGCGCTTTCGCAGCTAACTAGGTAAAAATAAATAGAGCGGGGAGCGGGGAAGGCTGGGAAAGCACTTACCCATATGCTTAGTAACTACTGCTTTCAAGGAATACAAACATGGGAAAGAGGCAGTTCAGTGGGAAAATAGTTTCTCAAAGAGTTCTTTCCCGCAAAACAAACATGTCCCAAATGTTCCTTCATAAAAGCAGTTCAGTGGGAAATAATTTTCTCAAAGAGTTGGTGAGATGCTGGGTTCGAATCCCATTACATACACTTTCTATCAAAATTGTCACAAATTTGAAAATCTCATCTGCGCTTTTCCCCAAGTCAACCTCTTAACTAGTAAAGTCGAGTCAGTTATGGTAGCGAATTAAGTCGACCACCGAGCTCAATTTTTTTTTACCACTGCTTGTGGTTTGAGGATGGTCTTTCGGTTGGCTAGAAGCAGGTCTCCTGGCCTCAATAGGTATTTGGCAGCTAAAATAGTCAAAAGATTATAGGAACATAAGTTTAATCAGTAAAAGATCAATACTGAGGTCCTATCCAAATCCATGAAGACATCTTGTCCTCAGAATATTGATGATACCATGGGAAGGTGGTCTCGTTTCTGAGGTATATTTCAGATGGAACTTCAGTGGCCAATGAACTATCAGTTTTAGAGACCCAGATTGGCTTAGCTGGAACCATGTCCAAGTTGGTCGAGAAAACACAAGGTTACCTGAATCGAATTTTCTGTTTAAAGGAGAATGGAGTTCCACAATACTTGGATTGAATTGAATTGTACTTGGGATGTGCATGGCTGCTTTTCAAATATGTTAAATGGGCCATCAGAAAGTTACATTGTCCGCTCCATGGCCCTCTTTTGCCTATTTCACTTGTGAATACAGTAAAACCCTTAGTTGGCTTGTCAAATAATTTGCAATTTGCGGTCTCGAAGTGGTGCATTATTGTTTAGGAAAATGAAAATGATAGAATTAAAGCAATAAGAGAATGTAAATAAGTCTCTTTTGAACCCTCTTTTAAACCATCTGATTAGCTTTGTTAAGGAGATTACAAGAGCAATTGGTTGATTGGTAGATGGATTTCCCTATGCCCACCGGGGTTCTCGCTTTGTGTCTGAACATAAAGTCAGTGAGTGCTTTGATTGGAGAATACTCAGCTAAGAAACCTGGATATGCTTACAGGCTTAGTGAATTCAACATCAAATAAGATATCGACACCCATATCTGATACTCCCAGAATGCTTGTAAATAAATGTCAACTTAAATACAAAATGAATTATGGGGGATAAGTCTGAAATGATAGTGAAAGTGAAATATCTAGTATAATATACATGAAGCATAACGTGAACATTTTAACTTACATACATACATATAACATATATGATATAGCTAAAACATTATATGATGCCTGGAAGGGATACATTGGTACATCCTATCCAGAATACTGAAGCTGATGCATACATCAGAAGCTCTAACAAAAATCTACAGTACATTATAACAAACTTGTATAGAACCTATATATTATACATTCATGGTATTATATGGATTGGAAAGAGAAAGATAATCAAATTGTTTTGCTGAACTGTAGGTCAGCAGATTCTTTGTAGGCAACTGCCCGGAGATCTGTTTGTAAACATTTACAAGGAGAACTTCTCGGAGCCATTCATGGCGTTTAGGGAAATCAGAAATCTGGTTTTCTGATGTTGAGAAAAGGTTTTATAACCATGTATTAGGAAAATTAGTTTATTGCTTCGCCCCCGAAGTCTTCGGATTTTCCTTACCAACTGAATTGAAGCGAAGCGAACGCAACTAAACTACGTTTTGGGGTCGGCAGGATATTTCGCATTCAAAAGAATATTGCGGGATGACTGGTTCAAGCATATGATGCGAAAGAGCGCGAGGCCCCAAGTCCAAGTCCAAGTCATACCTGTTACACCGAGAATTTACTCCCTACGTGGCCCAAATTTTATGGCCCCCTTCCTCCTTCCAACGACTACCAACTTGCCCCATATGTCTTCTCTAAAATTCCACTATTGTCTTTTATTTTCATTAGAATAAGATAGAGAAAATTGCCGCATACACTTTAAAATAAACTATTTATGCATCTTACCCCATCCCAATCGTTTCTCACACTTTTTTCCCCTAAACAACCTTACGTCACAAAACCCCCCAAGATAAAAAGTTCTTATTTTTTAGACGAAAATACCCTTATCGTACAAACCAAATCAATTCGCAAATCGCAAGTAAAGTAGTGCCAGAGCGCAATATACTACTGTTGGAGTGGAATCTCAAGAAGCACTGCCAGAGCACGATGCTACATTGCCGGAGCAAACTGCTGGAGCACGTATTTTCACTGCTAGAGCACGTTCTCAAAATGCCGAAGCACTGTGGGTCAGACAAATGACTGCCGAAGCACAGTTCTCAATATGCCGGAGCGCTGTGGGTCAGACAAAGCACTGTCGGAGTGCACATTTTGACTGTCAGAGTGCGCATTCAGACTGCCAGAACGCAATCCTCCATTGCCGGAGCGCTGTGGCTCCAAAGGCTTCATTGTCGAAGTGGACTGCTGGAATGTGTAGTTGCATAGCCGAAGTGAATTATCAGAATGCCGGAATGCTATGGGTCAGACGAAGTACTGCCGAAACGCACATTGGGACTGCCAGAGCGCTTCTTTACTGTGGGAAAATAGGAGATAGAAGGCTGTGTGAAAAGAAACGAGGGCACTTTAATCTTATTTCATGTTACTTTTGAGTTGGGAGGGCTTTTGCGAGGAAAGGTAGTTTGGGAAAAAGAAGTGTGAGAAAAATTTGGAGTGAGGGTAAATTGTATAGATAGTTAATTTTAAGGTGTTTTTGGTAATTTTCCTAATAAAATAAGTTGATTACCAAATTATCTCTTCATCATGTGAAAGGACCGTTGGGTCCTCATAAATTGAATTATTTTTATTTTTATTTTTTGATTGTTTTTATTTTTATTTTTTTATTAATTTAATATATTTATATATAAATGTATAATTTATTTATATTAAAATTATATAAAAAATCCCAAACCTTCCGGTCAAAACACCGAATTGCTTCATTTTTCTAACCAAATCGAAAAAAACTCCGAAGCAAATCTGACAACGTTGGTTTATTGGTGGATGCTTAAATTCCAAGAGAAAACTGAATTTCACATGATTTTTCTTGTTATTTTCAAACTTAGTAGAATTGGTATTTCCTTAATTTTGCTTGTCCTGACGACTTCTATATAATTGCTAAGTAACTTAATCTCTAGTCTCCTCCCCAGAATTTTTCTTCAGCTATAATTACATTTCCTTTTGTTTTTTTTTTTTCCTTCTGATTTTAACAAAGAACTTATCTATGAAAAGTTCATCATTATAGCTCACCAAATGTGCCAAACTCCCTCTCTCTCTCTCTCGTCATACACACCACCTCATTTCAGAGTCTCTGTATTCCTAAGCTACATGTAGGTAATACACGGGCACCTCCAAACATAGTGTATGTACATTTATATGTGCACGTGCAAGAACAAGAGACAGAGATCACACCTGCGTGCCATATATGCATTCATAGCAGAGAAACATGCAAGATATGGGCGTGTGTGAGAGAGAGAGTGAGAGAGAGAGATCTGTATATTTGGCGGCTGTGTTTTTGTTGGCGGATGAGAGAGAGACGTGTTTGTAGTCATACACACCACTACCTCATTTCTCATTTATCTGTGTGTACGCCTAAGCCACATGTAGGTAATACACGGGCACCTGTATATTTGTATGCGCACTTGCAAGAACAAGAGACAAAGGTCACACCTATATACCATATATGCATACATAACAGAGAAACATGCAAGATATGGGGGAGAGGGATGTGGGGGGGTGTGTGTGTGAGAGAGAGACTTCCGTATATTTTGGGGCTCGGTGTGTGTTTATGGGGGGGACTGAGAGAGAGAGATTGGTAGAGCGGAGTGGTTAGATATAGAAAGAAGATTATATATTTTATCAAGGATAAGGATAGCTAGAAACTAGAGAAAAAAAACTACTCTTTCTAAAACATTGGAATTAAACAAAAAATATATGGTTAATCTAGAACCTTTCCCATCTCTTTTGCAGAACAAAAAGTTCAGTGACAATTGCTATTCCCATGAATTTCTAAGCCTGTAAACAGTTATTTTTTCTACCTCAGATACAGTTTTATCATCTAATGACCTTAGAACCGTACCTGATTCTCGTGACAACTCCCATCCTTTATCAGAATCATAGTTTCTGTTGCTTCTGTTTCTTCTGATGAATCTATGTCTTCACTTTCTGTTGCCTCTATTTCATTTGAGGAACCAATATCTTCTGTTTCCTCTGTATTTATTTCTTCTGATGAATCCATACCTTCACTTTCTCCTGCTTCTGTTTCGCCTGATGAATTATTAACTTCATTTTGCATTACTTGTATTTCTTCTGATCTTCTGAAGCCTTTACTTGGGGCAATGGACATCGCATGTGAGTTTCGGAGATTTGGGTCCCCATAGAGAGCAATATGCCGATAATACAGTTCTAATTCCTTTTCAGCTATCGCAATGAACCGCCTCACTGACTCGAGTGACTGTTCATACTTGGATTTTTCTAGTGCCTGAATTCAAGATAAATCCAATAACTTATGACCTGAAACTGGTCAGGGTTGAGATATAATTTCCTGGTGTGGGGCTCATGTATTTAGCCATTACAATTCGGGTCAGTTTTCCCAGCCAATATTTTGTGTGTCCAGCTGAGAGAGAGAGAGAGAGAGAGAGAGAACTAGGACAGTTCAAAAGTCAAATGGAGTAAAAAACACAAAACTAAAGTTTACTGTTAAACCCAGAAATTTTGTCTGACGACTACAAAAACCCAACAAAGGAAAAAATAAATACTTCTAGATAAAGAGAAAACAAGATAACTAAACTACAAAGGTAAGGTAAAAGTTACCGGTTTCAAATAAAAATTATAATGTTGCAGGTTGTAAGAATAATAGAATATTGAAAGCTGTGCAGATCTTTTTTGGAAGAAGGACCAGCATATCTCAAAGTTCAAAATGTATGATACAAATACCACCATTTATTGGGAAAACAGATAACAGAAGCAGAAACTTTAGACTGTGTGTGTGTACGTGCGTGCGTGTGCATGTGTGTGTGTGTGTGATGGATCAACTCAAAAAGAAATTGTACATACTATTACTCATGTTTATGTATCCATATATATGTAGCTCCAAAATAGAGATATCAATATTTAAAGTTCTAAATGATAACCAAATGGGAAAATCAAATCTTGCACGAAATTTGGACGATTTACCTTCTTCTTTGACAGTGTATCAATGGGAGACATAATCTTGGGCTGGACATAGTTTTTCCCTCGATAAAAGACTATCGTATCATTGCCTATAATTTGAATTGGGATGCCACCACTCAATCTGGCAATCTCCTCAGCATATTCATGTACCTGGCCAGGTTTACATGGTTTGCAGATAACCTTAACAGTTTCATGTTTTTTCCAGTGCATATGCATGTTAAGAATAACACCTCCAAACACGCCACGCCTACCAACTGGGACATAATTTGATCGTTTTTGGGACATTTTTTTCATGTAGAATCGCTCCTCACCAGTCAATTCTTCAAGTTCAATAGTTGGACCTTGAAGCTTTGGTACCTCGTACTTCTTAAGCTTTTCGATTAGTCGTGCTTCTTTTATTTTGGCCTGTTGACAATAAAGAGGGTTAATAAGAAGCAAGAGGTAAGAGAATCACTCATCAACATTGATGAGTGGAGAGAGAGACTAGCACATAACATTGCCTGAGAACCCTGACCTTTTATCATGTCATGTCAAAAACATTCACTGCTTATAAAATAAGGAAACTAGGTAGATAGTTGAAACTACAACACTGTGCACGTAAATTCCCATTGGTTATCATCGTGTATTCCCATCTCTCTCTCTCAACTAGGTAGATAATTGAAACTTCAACACTCTGCACGTAAATTCCCATCGGTTATCATAATGCATCCCCAAGTCTCTCTCTCTCTCTCATGAGCTCATGTTTCAGTATTGTCTCTCATTCCCCTTCTTGTCTATAATTCTTATAGATGACATGGTAAGAAAATATCAGTGTGAAAGCCACCTGTTCCTGTTTAATGCACTTTAGCCTATTAATTTCAATCAGGTTCATAGTTCTCTGTTCCAAATTATAAAATAGAAAAAAGAAATGGTTCGCATCCAATCTCAATCAGTGACACAAGACATGGTAAAAGGGAGGTTGATTAGATAACACATGATCAATGACTCCAACATGAATTAAAAGATGGCTTGCCTCAGCACTTGTGCAGGCCATGATGCGGGCTGAAGCCCTAGGCTAGGTAGGACTTCCAGGGCCGGGGCCCCTCTAGGTGCCTGCGTAGTGGCCAAGCGCACACCTAGGCGGCCAAGGTGCCTGACCCCAAAACCCTGCAAGACCCCTGACCTTCCCTCACTGTTTTTGGAGCACCTCAATCACGAGGATCCTGGCTAGGCAGTGCGTTCCACCTTCTAAAACACTGCACATGATAAAAAGAGTAGGCTGGGTTTATTATCTAGGAAACTTTGGCTGTTCAGAAAGCAATACTGGGTCACCTCCACAATCAACAACCTAAATAAATTCTCCAGAGCGGTTTCATGTTACAGGAATTCTTAAGAATTATGTTCTTGTTAGTCTGGAGTCTGGACACATCATAATTGTCTGTCTTTCAATATTAAGAAATCTCCTACTTCCAATTCAAGATACAAGTTGTGTTAATAACTCAAATGATGGCACCAACTGAGTCCCCTTTAATCACCCATGGGCACCAAAATACTCCATATAAAAAAAAGCCAGATCCTTGCTCCAAAGGCAATCACCTAAATAATACAACTTTTTATTTCAAATTAATCTTTTTCCCTCTATTTGTGCAGTACCATTGCACATGTATAATATAGTATCACGTTAAGCCTTTCTTTGTTAATCCTTTGCTCAGTATCTCTAACTTTGGGCACTGTCGATTCCATGGGAAGTATGGTCTAAGAGGGTATGCTTGGAGGAAGGAATGGGTCCAACAGCTGTAAAATGCAAGGATAATAGATGGAAGGTAAGTTTAAAGAAGGATCCATGATTAATTCAGTAGAAGAAGAGAGGATTGCCCAGGCAGGCCCCACATAAAGAAAAATGTTTCATTGCATGAATGTGATATGCGGTGAGCATCAAGATTATAAAACAGATGCAGTTCGGACCGGTGCGATGAAAGAAAAAGTATCTCAAGGGTTGCAGAAGCGGAGATAGCAAGGGGAGTAGGGATAACAGAAAGGGGGCATGGAAATCCGGACCTCAATATTTTAGTGTCAGAGATTAATTATGAAGAAAAAAGGCCAGCCTCTGATCACATAACGAAAGGAAGGTGTCTTCTTTTGAGGCATCAGCCTCAACCACATCCTTAGTAATGAAGATACTTCCATGGAATATCAGGGGCTCAGGGGGCCACATGAAAAAGAGATCAGTGAGAGTGTTTGTTACACAACAAAGAAAAGACATCCTGATCCTACTAGAAAGAAACTTGGGATGAGGGAAACTAATTGGATATGGGTACGAGACCAAGCCAAATGGGTAGCATTACCGACTTAGGGATCATTGTGGGGCAATCAGGTGGTATGGTCTCCACAACTTCCGAACAAATTGGATTCCACGGGTGGAAATTGGTCAGCTTCTGTGTTCTTTGAAGGCCCAGAGAGGGGATTCCAGGGGCAACCTGCAGCTATATATGCCCCAAACAGACCAGCACAGAGAGAAGCCTTCTGCATTGAGCTTGATGGGCCTCAACAAAATGCAAATATTCTCTGGCGTGTAATGTGTCAATTTGGTCTTTTAAGAAACTTTGGGGGTCAGGAACGCGACAAGCATAAAAGAATTTGAAGCATTATTGTAGAAATGAGTTGATGGAGATACCATTGGGAGGCCCGAAATTCACCTGGTCCAATTGTAGTGAGGAATATCTAGTGCTCACTAAGTCGAACAAATCCTGTCTCAGCAAGTTGGAAATCTATGTTTCCTGAGGTCAATCCCGCAGCATTGCCTAAGCCAATTTCTGACCTCACTTCAATTCTATTGAGCGCTGAGCAAAGCACATCAGGACCGAAACCATTAGATTCGAGCTTATGTAGTTTAAAGACAAGCAACTGCCAAAACTTGTGGAGTGGTGGGCTTTGTTTAAAGTAGACAGCTGGAGGATGCAAGAACTGAAGAAAGTTGCAATAGCTGAAACAGAGGCTAAAGGTCTGGAATAAGGAATGTTTTGAGCATTTGGAAGTTCCTTCCTCCAAATGAATTAAACAGGTAGATAACTTGGAAGAACAATGACACCTCATTGATGAGGAATGAAGCTAAAGGAAGCAAAGGCAACACTTCAAGATTATCTAACGATGAAAGAACTTTTCCGAACCAGAGACTTAGAACAAACTGGTTAAAAGAAAAAGACTAGAATATAGACTTCCAACCGTAAGACAACAAAGTTTAGCTGGTGCAGTATTAGTATCCAAAGCGCAGAATTGGATGATAAAACTTTTGAAGATGGTGATGTTAAGGAAGTGACAATTGTGCACCACTTTCAATGGTTCTTCCCAGTGGTATAAGGATAAGCACATTGTTGGAGGAGGGCCCAGGGGTTAAGTCATCAAAGCGCAGCCTGGTTGGAAACAGCCATTTGAATTGGAAAAGCTACATAGAGCAGTGTTTGGGCTGGACAAGGAAAGAGCACCTGGCACCAACTGCTTTCCACTCACCTTATTTCAATATTTCTAGGAGATGATCAGCACAGCATTCTTAAAGATGTTCCAGGAGTTCCATGACGGGTAGAATCCACAAAGTTATGAACTCATCCTTTGTTGCCCTAATTCCTAAGACAGACAAGGTAGAAGATACAAAGATATGAGACTTTTCAGCCTAATAGGTAGTGTATACAAGATATTGACTAAGGTTCTGTCCTTGAAGTTATGCAAGCATATCAGTCATATCCATCCCTCAACCTGCCTTTACTCAAAGATAGATAGACGCTGGATGGTATACTCATCATGGGTGCATCAGTTCCAGACAAAAAGAAAAATTGAAAAAAAGAGTGAGGAAAACTATCAGAAATATACCTTAATTTTCGTCTGGTTAGGAAAAAACCCCAAACTTTCATAAACCTCATCCATACCCTTTTTCCTCAGTTTTGGCATTTTTTGGACCAAAATTCACGGTAGTCATATTACAGTAAAGGCTCAACATCGCTGTACTTAAAGTACAGTGACAACGACCAAAGCTTATAAGGCATATATTTGAAACGGTGATGTCTTGAGACATCACGGTACTTTAAGTACCATGATGAATTTAACATGTTTTGCGGTACTTGAAGTACCATAATAAAATTGGATGATAACAACAGTAAAAAAACTACAGTGATTATTTCTAAACTCCTCCTTCCTGCGCTTTTCTCTTTCCTTTACACGATTTTTTCCTTCTCAAATCACACTCTCTCTAACCCCACTACTCTCTTCCTTAGCCTCCCCTCCTCTCTCTCTCTCTCTCTCTCACTCTCTCTTCCTTAGCCTCCTCTCTCTGTTCCTTATCCTCCTCTCTCTCTCTAATCTCTCATCCATTTGATATCCTCTCCTATTTCTCAATCTCTAAAAGAGGTCTCTGAGAGCTATTTCGCAATCTTTGAATGAAGTCTCTGAGAGCTATTTTCCAATCCATGAGCATCAAATATACACACCAACACCATTTTACAAGTATGTCATCAAAATCGTCAAGGTTTTAATTATATTCCCTTGGATGTGCGATGACAACATTTTGTATGAAATATTATGTAGTTTTTTCTATAGTCCTTTGATGTTGTTGGGTTGGCCATTGGAAATTTTTTCTTTAGAATATTGCATAAATAAGTCTTAGATATGTATTTATCTTGTGGCATCTATATTGCAATCTAATGTCCCTCTGTAATGCAACCTCTTCATTATATATAAATATTTGAAAACCTTTATACATCCATTGCTATCTTCCAATGTGTTATTGATCCCAAATATTTTCGTTTATATTTGTTTACATCTGAAATTGGAGATCTCAGCAGTGATTGGGCATTTATATGCACCAATAATGGGTGATGACTGAGGGAGAATCGCTTTACACTTTAGTGGTTATTTCAAGCGGAATTCTAATGATGGACGTATTTTCTATGATGGTGGGGACCTGAAGGTTACATTTTTTAGGGGGATCCCATTCTTCGATCAACTAAAGGCTCACTTATCAAAAATAACAAATTATGCCCCAAGTATCACAACTATTTAGGTATAGTGACTCAAGGTTACCAAGTAACAGGAATATAATACGTATTGGCGATGATGACGACCATACAAAAATGTTGGAAGGGTCTTCTCCCATTGCTATGTATGTGTCAAACAAACCTATTGAGTCCGAGTCCACGGAATATCGACCACCAACACTACCAAAGAATGGTCCATCAAGATGGGCCATGTAAGAAGTTTGCAATGAAATTCATTATCTTTTTTTTTTATTAGTGCAGATGTTATGGGTTAGGATAATTCTCATGTTGTTCTAATATTTTTTGAACAACAGTACTCGATCAGAGCAAGTCATTCATAGTGAAGGTGCAGCCAATGTTTTAAAAAACAATCTGCCCAGCGCCTAGGCACCCGTCGAGGTGGCCTGGACCAAAATATTGCGCGCCCAGACCCAGGCGGCCCTACATGAGCAGATGTACTTGGGCGGGCGTCTAGGCAGTTCAGCCGGGCGCCTAGGCGGGTGCTCAAGGACGTGGATTTTTTTTTTTAAATACCCAAAAGGTATGTGATTTTGAGGTTTAAATAGGCTATAGGGGTTATTTTCAATAACCAAAACTCAGGAAAAATTCCATAAACCCTCAATCTCTTAGCTATACCTGTTTCTGAGAATCAAAAGTATTTTTTGTGGTTTGAAGAACCTTCCTAAACCTTTACACTTATTATGAAATATGGAGCGTGGGAAACTATTACTAATACATATCCTATTAGATTTTTAAATTTTGTATGGTTTGAATTTTGAAATTTTGAACAAATTTATTTTCAACATGCAATATGTCATATTTTTGTACATAAAAAAATATGTTACAATATTTTCAAATGAATTCTAAAATTGACACAAATTTATGTATATATACTACATATCTATATAAATTGTACAACAGGGTGCCTAAGGTTCTAGGGGCCCGCCTGGGCAAGGGCACCAAGCCGGCCGCCTAGCGTTTTTTGAAACTTTGGGTGCAGCTGGCATAGGCGTTGAAGATTAGCATGATTTAGAAATCAAACGCTATATCGACGACATCGATCTGATAGAAAGCCCCATTAGGATTGACCATTACGAAGTTGTACTTCAACAGGGTCAAGATTTTGATGACGTATAGGCATGCCGTAATCACCTTATTGATTATGCCATATCATAAAACTTTAAAATGAAGTTTATAAAAAGCGAGGAGAGACGTGTATGAGCTGCAGATGGGTGTTCAAGGCGAATGCATTGTTGGAGGGTTAATACAAACTTCTTCAGGGTGAAGAACTTTGTAAACGTGTACTCATGTGCAGGTGTAATAGGCAGGGTTCATCAGCCGTTTGCTCGAAGACACTGAGTGGCTAGTAAGATCAAAGACCGTTTGAATGATATGCCCAATCTGACATCTGGAGATGTTATTAATGATATACAATGGGTCACTGTGTCACACCATCTTATCAACAAGCATGGCGGGGCAAAGAGGTTGCACAAGAGATAAATAACAGCTCTCATGTGAAAGCATACGAGGATCTTGCCAAGTACCTTCATAAGATTTGAGACACTAACTCTGGAACCCTA